TTTTCATCATCCTTCCTCCGCAATCACTCTCAGTTTCCTTCATACTCAGTAACCCCCGTCTTAGTAGGTTTATCAACTTTCTGTGGTTGCCAATGAAGATTAAGCACTCCTGATCACAATTAAAAAAAAATGTTGCCGCAGTTTTCAATGTCAAGTCAGTTTTTATGAAATGGAGATGAATTTGACAAAACATACCCAGCAGGGTGCTGAAAAGTTATCAGCCCACTGTACCCCACTCCGAAATCAATATCCTGACGTTTGGCCATTGAAATATGGATTTGGGAGAAATCGGTCAGGAAGATAATTTTTCAGCACCCCCCCCCCTTCCTTACTAGCTGAAGTACCCATCAAGAAATGGATCAAAGTCAGTTTCTTCAATTAAGCTAACAATAAAGAATCCTGAAAACCTTGTTCTAAAGTGAAACAAATAGAATACATTAAGTAAAATTAGTCGACTTTACAATCTTTGTTGTTAGTCAAAAATTTGTTGTCATTACGCATAGTTATGAGCAATTAAAATCAAAGAAAAACAAAATGATTGTTTTGGAGCTTATGACCCCAACACATTGAAACACTGGTTCCTGTATATGATCACCAAAGTTAAGCAATGTCATGTCTGGTCAGTATCTAGATGGATGACCACTTGGGAATACCAGATGCTGTAAGTTTGGATCTGCAGGTGGTGCATAATATAAATCAGAAAACAGAGTTTCAGTGTTATATTCACTTATGTGCAAATACCCTTGGGAAAGATATGACTCAACCACTTACCCCCCCCACTCCCACCCCGCAACTATTGGTCAATTTTAAGACTTGTATCACTAAAACTGTCATCTTACAAAATAAAATAAAAATAAATAAAAGTGTGTACAAAATATTTAGATTTCAGCATTAAATAACCCATAGAGGTGTTGATATGTCACTAAACAAAAGCAACCAACAACCATTTGTTATTGGTAAGTTTCTAATCAAGAAATTAAGTAAAAAAAAAAAAAAAATAAATATAATTTTGGAGGAAAAATTCTGTGAAATTGCTTTTTCAAACCATAAACATTTTTTTTTCTTAAGAAACCATTAATAATAAAAGAAATTGTAGTCTTATATCAAATGATTCCAAATGGTAATTGTTACTGTTAGGGGAAGCTAATTTCCTTCCCCTATAAAGGACTTTAACTCAAAATACAATTGAGTTACTTCCCTTGTCTGTGAAGACAAGCATACCACTTCTGAATTGAACGTAGCAACAAGTTTACATACACATAGAATTCATTGTTGCAATCCTTGCTGTTCTCAGATAGTAAATGAATAATGGTTATTTATTTATATGTTAAAATACCTTTGTCTTTTATTCATTCATTTTTGTTCATACCAGCAGCCTTAGATATAACAGTTACTATAAAAGATATTTTTACATAACAAAAGTAAGGTACTGTCCCGGATTCCCCACTACAAAGAATATATTTTTACCTTTTTCACCTGGTTATAAAAGGCATCATGTATATTAAATCAGAAGGTTCCTCTTGAAGCTATTTGGTCAAAAAACAAACTATTCCCAATGTGTGTGTGAGGCTGAGTGGTTAAAAGTTAGCATTCTGACCAGGAGAATAAGATTCAACTCTTACTTTGGTTGATTTGTCAAGAAGGCGACTTCTTGATAATGTGTGTGCGCACCACTGTTGGTAAGTGCCTGAAAACCACACCCAGAGATGACCAAAGTATTGTGAGCGAACTTGGGTATATGGAACTGAATGAAACTCCTAAATGGTTGTGCTAGCATCAAGTTCCAAGTCACTGTGACTGAGGGTTTGACTGCATTGTCCCTGTTTAACTACAGATCATGCCAGATTGTGCACTCCCTCCCAGAAACTGTAATTAAAGTCTGCTCAGCCTAGTTGCAGTATAAACCACAGATGAGTTCTGGACATAACCAAACTTCTTACGCACAATGTCTGAATTTAAATTAGGCCATCAAATATGACAAGGGACTTCATCAGTGAAAATACCTGGGTGACCTTCATGTAATTCTTTAAGCAAGATATCTAGACAGTTTGTGGGAATAACCACTTGTGATCCCCATAAAACACAACTTAGTTGTACTGATAACTCTTTCTTCCTGTTTGTGTAAGGTTGAAAATCGTGATATTCATTGTATGGCTATCCTCGTATGATCCACTTACACACTTGAGATAACACAAGATCCCTGGATGCATGTAAAGCAACAATTTTTGCCGTGACAGGAGTTGAATCTATCATAGAGAGTACCACTTTCTCCAGACAAGGTAATGGTGTAATATAGTCCTCTACGGATAGCCATCTGCATTGGAAATCTTTGGACTGGGTTTGTATAAAAGGTGATAATGGTAGTTTTTTTTTGTTTTTTGTTTTTTTTTAAAAAAAAGCATTCACCCCAAGCAAGGCGGGAGTGCCACTAGCATGCAATGCATAATAGTGAGTGAAAATAAAAGAAAGGAGGGGGGGTGCTGAGGAAAGGATAAAAAGAAGAACGGGGATCAAGGCAAACAGAAGATGTCGATTGACACTACATTTAAATTTTTGAAGATTATAGTCATCAGGGAAGTAAGTAAGAGGAAGAGAGTTCCAATGCAGGGAAGTGCGAGATAAGTTGTTGGAGTAGAAGAGACAGTTACATTTAACTGTTTTGACAATAAAAGGGTGGGGCAGAGATGTCAACCTAGTAGCAAGCTTAAATTCATGCAGTCAGGACACCAGTGAAAATAGCTTGTCAGAGTAGATGCCATGAAAATATTTGTAGAAAAGACATCTGTGAGAAAGTGACTGCAGTTGAGCTGACAAGTCAGGACTGATGACATCGCATATCTGTCTTTGGATTTTGTCAAGAACCTCAATATGAACAGCGGGAACGCCAGACCAGATATGGCAACAGTATTCAATGCATGGACAAATGGTAAATTTGTAGATGTGAAGGTTAGATTCTGATGAGAAAAACCTGGTGCGACACAGAGAACCAACTTTCCTTGCAGTAGAAACAGCTATTGATTCAATGTAATTGTTCCACCTCAGAAGAGTGGAAAACATGAGACCAAGAAGGCACAGTGAGAAGCTCTCGTGAAGCTGAGCATCAACCATGCTGATAGGAGGCAAGGCAGTTTCTTTATCCTGGTTAAATGAGAGCAGTTTCGTTTTGGAGGCATTAAAATTTACAAGCCATTTCCCGCCCCAGTCAACCACAGATTGGTGGTCTTTTTCAAAATCAAAGGCCAAGGTTAACTGTCAGCAGTTCCTGATTTACTATTGAGACAGGAGTAAATGGTAGTGTTGTCTGTGTAGATGTTTACTTGAGAACTGATGACATCATTGATGAATATCAGAAACTGTGTAGGACCCAAGAGAGAGTCTTGGGAAACATTAGTGTAAAACCAACTGGAAGAGAAACTATTTAGGATGACCTGGAGTTCTAGAGAAGCAACTTGGCCCATTGACTTTTATAGTATGGCTGGAGGATGGGCAATTGGCATGTATGGAAAAGACATGTGGCTTATATTCTCATGAATCATCCAACTGAACCAGATACATGCCTCAAAAGAGCTAAGCAACCAAGGAGAACTCAAACACATACTTTGAAGGGATACTCAGCATTGACTACACAGCAAAGTGTACCTTACAGAGATAGACCGAGAGAGGAAAATCAACAACCTGGAACGCCTGTCAGGACACATTTTTAGAAACAGAGAGATGTAAGGTTGAAAGTGAGCCTAAGAAACCGCACAGAGGCATAAAACTAGACAGCACAAACGCAATGCAGAACCAGACTCTTAGAGAATTTGCTGAAAAGGAATCGCCAGATGATAGAATTACAGAGGACTTGGATATGGAATGTGATGATGACAAGTAAAACAATTATTGCCCCTGATAACTTGTCTCCTTCTCAGAGTTCTTTTGAAACCCCCCCCTAAACATTCCCACCTAATTAACAGTATGCGACAATCAGAAGGAAGTTGTAACCACAATGTTTATGTGTGAATAAAAAAAAAAGCAGGAGTATCGCTTCTACAGACTGAACTGCATTGTTGTTGTTATTATTATAACAGACCCATTACCAAATTGTGACAGTTATAGAATATTCTGCCGTCTGATAGTTCAGGTCAAACCCAAACCACTTTTGAAACTAACAAAAGAATAAGCATGGAATTTTGGTGTTTTTCAATTGAGTGAAATTCAGTCATTGAGGATTGACTATCATAATAGTCTGGCAAATAACAGATAGCAATCTAAGTAGAGTGCTTAAGAATTTCAATTATTAGATTATTAGTTACTTAAAATTTTAGAAAGTTCCAGACATAAAAGCCACACACGTTTTTTTCTGAGTTTCCTAAACTTTGAGCTGCTTTCGTTTAGACACGATCCTAAAAATGGTTTTCGAAATAAAAGGCAATCAATGAGGTATTTGAAGAAAATCTGTATGATAAAATATGGGCTTCTATAGTCAATAGCTTCCATAGCTGCTGTCATTGACAGGCTCTGTAAGGAAAAGACAACATGAGGTGGATATGTTATTTCCAATCCATGACACTTGCTGATTGCCAATGAATGACAGCCTGAAAAGGCAGAATAAAAGGCAACCGAAAATTAAGATGGGGAAAAAAATATATACTCAACAAAAAATGAATAATTACAAATGAGTTGCTCTCACCCACCCACCCCCACACACACAAAAAAAAAAGTTTTGGAGAAAGGAGAATAGTCAATTCCAAATAGACAAGATTCTTTTATTTGGAATCTAAATGAGCAAAGAAATTTGTATTTTGAATTTTATAGACGGATTACTGAAGTCCAGTCAAGTTGCCTAGCAACAGTTGCTTGGCACTATGACTCCAATCCCACACTCCAGTCTTGTCATTGGGTCATTCAATCATTCCCAGGGGAGGGTTGGGGAATCATTTAAGGGTTATCCACCTACACAAATATAATTTCAACACTCTGGAAGTATAAGATTCCAGTTGAATTTGATGCTTAAATATTCACTGGAGGGGAAATGAAGAGAGTGGGAGAAGAAAAAAAACAGAGCGAGAGGAAGAGCGAGAGGAAAATGAGGGAAGAGCGAGAGGAAAAATAGACGAGGAGGAAAAGAGAGGAGGGAGAGAGCGAGAGGAAAATAGACTAAGAGCGACGGAGGAGAGACGAGAGGAGAGGAAAAATAGACGAAGAGCGACGGAGGGAGAGACGAAGAGCGACGGAGGGAGAGACGAAGAGCGAGAGGAAAAATAGACGAAGAGCGACGGAGGGAGAGACGAAGAGCGACGGAGGGAGAGACGAAGAGCGAGAGGAAAATAGACGAAGAGCGATTTAGGGAGAGACGAAGAGCGCATGGAGGGAGAAAGAGCGAGAGGAAAAATAGACGAAGAGCGGGAGAGATGAAGAGCGCATTTGAGGGAGAGACGAAGAGCGAGAGGAAAAATAGACGAAGAGCGAGAGGAAAAATAGACGAAGAGCGACGGAGGGAGAGACGAAGAGCGAGAGGAAAAATAGACGAAGAGCGAGAGGAAAAATAGACGAAGAGCGAGAGGAGAGACGTAAGAGGGAAAATAGACGAAGAGCGTAGAGAAAATAGACGAAGAGCGACTGGAGGGAGAGACGAAGAGCGAAGAGGAAAAATAGACTAGAGCGCATTTGAGGGAGAGACGAAGAGCTTAGGAAAATAGACGAAGAGCGACGGAGGGAGAGATTTAAGAGCGTAGAGGAAAAATAGACGAAGAGCGAGGAAAAAATAGACGAAGAGCGACGGAGGGAGAGACGAAGAGCTTAGAGGAAAATAGACGAAGAGCGAGAGGAAAAATAGACTAAGAGCGACTTGAGGGAGAGACGTAGAGGAAAAATAGACGAAGAGCGAGAGGAAAATAGACGAAGAGAGAGGAAAATAGACGAAGAGCGAGAGGAAAATAGACGAAGCTAGGGAGAGACGAAGAGGAAAAAATAGACGAAGAGCGAGAGGAAAAATAGACGAAGAGCGAGAGGAAAAATAGACGAAGAGCGAGAGGAAAAATAAACGGAGAGACGTAGAGAGAAGAGCGAGAGGAAAAATAGGAAGAGGGAGGAAAAAATAGACGAAGAGCGACGGAGGGGAGAGACGAAGAGCGAGAGGAAAATAGACTAAGAGCGAGGAGGGAGAGAGAAAAAGAGGAAAAAGAGCGAGGGAGAGGAAAAATAGACGAAGAAATAGAGGAAAATAGACGAAGAGCGAGAGGAAAATAGAATCAAGAGCGGGAGGGGAGAGACGAAGAGGGAGGGAGAGAAAGAGCTGCATTTGAGGGAGAGAAAGAGCGACGAGGGAGAGACTAAGAGAGAGAAATAGAGACGAAGAGCGAGGGAGGGAGAGAAATATAGACGAAGAGCGAGGGAGGGAGAGAAATATAGACGAAGAGCGAGGGAGGGAGAGAAATATAGATGAAGAGCGAGGGAGGGAGAGAAAAATAAACGAAGAGCGAGGGAGGGAGAGAAAAATAAACGAAGAGCGAGGGAGGGAGAGAAAAATAAACGAAGAGCGAGGGAGGGAGAGAAAAAGAAGAGCCAGAGAGAAAGGATGACAAGCAGAAAGGTGAGAAGAAAGGAGGCCAAGAATCACTAAAAGAGAAAATCTTGACAAAAAAAAGAAATGAAGAGAAAAACGAGAAGAGAGATAAGGCCCCGCCCTGTCTTGAGGACGATAGTTAGAAGAAAAATTTATTGTAAAGAGTGGATCGAATCGAGCTTAATCGTCTAATGTCTCATCCTTTTCTTTTCCCCCAACCCTAATTCAGCGATTAGAAAGTCTTCCCCAAACATTCTGATTTTAACAACATAGCTTGTATGAGTCAATGCAATTTCGTGTTCCCAACCCCCACATTTTTTATATCAAGGCTATGCCTTGTAAAAACAAATGATGGCCAAAAGGCAGCCAGTAGAAAATTAACCTAATTAAACAGCTTCCCAAACAAATAAATGACGAAATCTAATAAAAGACCACAAGAATTGAGAAACTAAATTGGAGGAGGAAAACACATTAATATGATGAAATTCTCCCTTCTAGATTTTTTAAAGATTTTTAAAATCCAAACAAGTTAAAACTTTAAACTTCTGTCCTTGTTCTTGTGACAAACTGTCTGAAAGTTTTATAAAAATGGTGCCCGCAAAGTCATTCCCAGCAGATGACATCAAAAGATTCAAGCACAATCTTTGCTTTGTTTACATGCATAAAAATTCTCAAATTAAAAACCTTGAAAACTACAAAGCATTTGCTAAAACTTCCAGCCTTTTTTATTTTTTATTCATAATCATAACATTAATTCAGCAGCCCAAGTTGGCCCTATTGTAGTTGGCACAATCAGTACTGTCTCCAAGGATTTCTCTGCATCACAAGGTGCCTTACCGAATACCATTGGAAGTGCACAAATGACAGTAATGCTTGGAGAAGCTTCATGTCGTAAGAAAAGACTAGCAGCTGACATATGACTAAGAATCAATCAGATGAAAATATCTAAAAATAAAGGATTTTAAAAGAATAGATTTTTTTTTTATGTGTTCAGCACTAGAAACTTTTACATACACTTTTTTCCTCCACACTCTTTCCCCATCTTTTGTAAAGGAGTAGAGGCTTATCCCTTGTTTCCTGTTTAGGATTGGGTTTCCAGTTCCTTCTAAAGTCTACTTCAACTCTATACATTTACATTATTCGGACTATTGTCCTCATCTTTGTCGCCATATTTATCACAACATTTCAGCCGTTGTACGCTCCAGCCTTCTTCAGATGGTTGGAATGTCGAACTGAACGCATTATTTCGCTCACTCGGGTAGACTGTTCTAGTTCCACATGCCATGTTTGGATGGATGTCAGTTATCAGTTATCTCCTGTTAATTTTTCCTCTAAAAGTTCTCCACTGCCTTAACCGGGTATTGAACTCACACTGAGTCCCGTCACTGGATCTAACCAACGCCTTTATCCACTGTGCCATGTGTCCTCGAGTCTATACATTTAACATCTCCACATTAAACTCTGAAATGTTATTTATTTATTTTCTTCCTTCAGTAGGAGTAGACAGTTTTTTTGAATAGGAGTAAAGGTTTATCCCTGGTTTCCTCTTTAGGATTGGGTTTCCAGTTCCTTCTGAAGTCTACTTCAACTCTAGATATCTGACATATCCACCTACACCTAAATTCTGAGATTTGATTTATTATTTATTTGGGTTTGTTTTTCCTCAATAGGAGTAGATATGTTTGCCTATTGTCCAGTTCACACTCCTTCCCCATCTTTTGAATGGAAGTAGAGGTTTACCCCTTGTTTTATGTTTAGTTATGGGTTTCCAGTTCCTTCTAAAGTTTTCTCATTCTCTTTCACTCCCAGTAACACTCTGCGTCTTAGTGACATTATTGCCTTGCTTTGAGTGAAATGATTAAAGAATCAATTCTAATTAATGAAAACAGATACAGGCAAATCTCTAAAAAAAATTTGAAAAATACTGAGCAGAATCAAGTGATGCTGAAATGGTGGACCAAAGAATTGATCCACCATTGTGATGGCTTCATAGAATTCATTTGGCCAAATTCTTAATATTTGAAACCTGAAAACATTTCATAGAATGCACAGATACTACACTCTGATCCACTATTGGCCTACCCTGGCAAAAGGTGACACTTGGTTGATTTCATATGCATACACTATAATATTCCAACATTCTTCTTTAGTACAATGGGGAGGTGCTGCTACAGAATTGGAACAACCAAGAACAAACTCACCTTCTGTTATGCTATGTATGTCTAAAAGATTGCCATATTTTAGCTAAGGACAAGAAAATATCTAAAGAGGGAGAGATGTTTTTACTTAGAAAGACACTAGCCTGAAAGTCAAACAACTAAATACATATATACCTCACTTATCAGAGTCACAAGTATTAATCTGGTCATTTTTATGGGTATTATACTAGTAAATGATATGCTATATTTGTAGAGCATATTACAAAAAATAACTAAAAAAGACAAAAATTGTCATTAACACTTACAAAATGCTCATGCAGAAAGAATAAAAGTTCTGCCATAATAAAGTGGCCTCTTGTCTGACTTGAAGTCAACAAGAAATGATACTGCAACAAGCCAGAGAAGGTGATCAAAAATTACCAAGTGAAGATCTTGTGAGATTTCAACACCCAAATGGGCCACAACCTTGAGTCCACTTAAACGGACATCTTCTTCATTAATTCTTTGGCTATTCCTGGTGACCATAATATTAAGGTTAAAAAAAAAATCCCCAAATACAACTGACCACCAGATTGAAGCTAACAAAATATGGAATATTCAGGTCATTATTATTCCAGTTATCATTGGGGGTCTATACAATCAAAGATCCTGTATAGTGAAAATTTGGATAAATACTTTTTTTGACAATGCTTTTTATCCTGTAGAAGGCCCGAGAGCCACTCAAGGTAGAGGATTACAAAGTTTATGCAGATATGTGGGAAAGATAATGGTTAATCCTATACTTGAACAGGCTAAGATTGTAGTGATCAGGGAAGCATCCTCTTGGGAGTCAGTTCCACAAGGAAGAGGTTTGTGAAAAGAAACTGCTTGAGTGGAACTTACCTCTCTCCAATGGAATACGAAGAGAATGGAAGGTGGTTCCATACAATGGGTGTGGCATAGCAGATCTTAGCCATGAAGGTTAGAACTGGGGGAACTAAGGAATGTGTGTTCATCTGAACATTTGCCATGGAAATAGCGATAGAGTTTGCAACATTTTGTCTTTGAGGAAGAGGTTATAAGGTTGAAAATAATTTGTCACCCACAAGGACCCAGACACTTTCAGACTATCATGACTGAAAAGTAAAGACTGTGCAGCTCCAGCCCATATATGGCAGCAGTGCTCCAGCATCCCATCACTTCAGAAGTCTGTGTTACTTGTCACTGTAAATATTCCATGAAAGGTGCTCTTATTCTGAGATTATATGAATTAAGAACATCCATAATGCAAGAACTCTGGTTGAAAATGAATCAGAATGCAAAAGAAAATAATAATTATGATGATGCTCAAAGACAAACAAATTATTAAAGTAAAAGAGATTTGAAGCATTCTAAATTGTTTATGCTAATGGTTGTACCAAAATAAAAATACTGTAAAAGAGTCACTTGTTTGTCGTAAACTATGGAAATGTTTCTATCCCATAAAGTACAATAAGAGAAAACCTTCATCATGAAAATGAGCATCTGAATGAAGAAACAGTAACAAGCCTCAGACACTTGACATTTGAACAATGGACTCTATGACTGCATTTAACAAAAGAAACTTACCAAAGGGCCTGATCATTCATAAATCATCTATCAAACTACTTATCTTGGGGTTGGCATTTATCTTGTATAATAAAGGTTAATAGATATTTTTCCATACACTTTTTACAGAAAATTTGTGGCTTGGGTCAGCAACTAAAAATGTCAATGATGAATTGAAAAAAATCCTAATTTTTTAAATTTTGTAGAGAGTGGGCTTAAGATCCTGTTCCTGATTATTGTTGTTAAATTAAATTTAAAGTAAACACTAAATAAAAAGTTGTTGTTTTTTTTTAATTGAAAGAAAAACAAATCAAATTAGTCAATGACCCTTCATAGAAATGGCATCAAACAAATCCCTAATTGCTGTCAGATTAAACAACCATTCTAACAGGGTCATCACCATTTCCATTTCAGAAACAGTGCAAAGTATTAAGAAAGAGGAAATGTCATTAGAAACAAAAAAAAAAAGTGCTGAACTGATATGTAATACTTAATATATGATGGCAAATCATCTTTTGCCGTTGCCTCAAAGATCAAAAATGTATACATACAATCTTAAAGAGAGAGATTAAATTTTGGGGGTGTATACGGAAATGGGTCTAGAATGCATAGAAGACATATGGTCGTCAGCAAAAGGGGCCAACCCAAAGTGTAAGTTACATATTGGGTACATCAAAATCAAGCAGATACAGAAATTTAACTGCTTGAATTGATCAGATGTTTTTGTTTAGCAGCATATCAAACTTAAGTTTTTAATGCTAAAACCTAAATATTTTGCACATAATCTTATTTTCGGAAATAATGGTTCAGCAACACAAATCTTACTAGTTAACCCATAGCTGGGGGAGAAGCGGTGTATTCATACCTTTGCCAAGGGTATTTGCACTTAAGTGAATATAATGAACCCAACTTGAATTGGAGCTTGGCTCTCCAATTAACAATTCCGAGCCATTAGACATTACACCACCCATACATCCAAACTTACAGCATCTGGTATTCCCAAGCGGTTATCCACTTAGGTACTGACCAAGCTAGATGTTGCTTAACTTCAGTGATTGTACAGGAACTAGTGTGGTTGTAAATCTGGTTGGATTGGGTAGTAACAGATGATCACTAGGAATAGAGAAAGTGCCTTTCAGAAACTAAGCAAAGTATTAAACAGCAGAAAAATCTCATTAGAAACAAAAGAAAGAGGGCTGAACTGTTATACAATATCTGATCTCCTCACAGATGAAGAAGAGATTCAAAGTAAAAGAAATAGTGTTCTACAGAAGGATGCTGAGAATAAAATGGATGCACATATGAGAAAGGCAGAAGTTTTAAGGGGGTAGAGAACAAAGAAAAAATCTGCTGCTAACAATCAAAAAGTGAAAGCTGAAATTTTGGAGATATCTATTAATGAAACAAGGTTTGAAGAATTTAAAACTTTGTTGAAGGCAAGAAAAGTAGAGCCAAGTAGCAAGTAAGCTACTTAAGGAGTTTAAAAAAGATGGCAGAAGAAAGAAAGAAAGAAAGAAAGAGAAGTGGTAAGGTGGAAAAGTTAGAATGAAAAAAAAAAAAAGAAATAGAGGATGTGGAGTGAAATAGATCCTGAAAGGGGGAATATGACACATAAAAGAGAGGGGGAAAAAAAGAGCATTTGTTTAGGTTTCAATTCCAGCAATCAAAGTGAAAATAAGAACAACAGAGAGAGAAAATGGAGATATATATATATATATATAACGGAGAGAGAGAGAGAGAGAGAACGGACATGAGAGAGAGAGAGAGAGTGAACGGACATGAGAGAGAGAGAGAGAGTGAACGGACATGAGAGAGAGAGAGAGAGTGAACGGACATGAGAGAGAGAGAGAGAGAGAGAGAGAGAGAACGGACACGGAGAGAGAGAGAGAGAGAACGACATGAGAGAGAGAGAGAGAGAGAGAACGGACATGAGAGAGAGAGAGAGAGAGAAGAACGGACGGACATACATGAGAGAGAGAGAGAGAGTGAAGAGAGAACGGACATACATGAGAGAGAGAGAACGGACATGAGAGAGAGAGAGAGAGAGAGACGGATACATGAGAGAGAGAGAGAGAGGAACGGACATGAGAGAGAGAGAGAGAGAGAGAGAGAACGGACATGAGAGAGAGAGAGAGAGAGAGAGAAGAGAACGGACGACATACATGAGAGAGAGAGAGGACATACATGAGAGAAGAGAACGGACGGACATGGACATGAGAGAGAGAGAGAGAGAGAGAACGAACGGACATGAGAGAGAGGAGAGAGAGAGAGAGAAACGGACATACATGAGAGAGAGAGAGAGAATACATGAGAGGAGAGAACATACATGAGAGAGAGAGAGAGAACGAGAGAGAGAGAACGACGGACATACATGAGAGAGAGAGAGAGAGAGAGAGAACGACATACATGAGAGAGAGAGAGAGAACGGACATACATGAGAGAGAGAACGGACGGACATACATGAGAGAGAGAGAACGGACGGACATACATGAGAGAGAGAGAACGGACGGACATACATGAGAGAGAGAGAACGGACGGACATACATGAGAGAGAAGAACGGACATACATGAGAGAGAGAGAGAACGAACGAGAGAGAGAGAGAACGGAGACATACATGAGAGGAGAGAGGACGGACATACATGAGAGAGAGAACAACGGACATACAGAGAGAGAGAGAGAACGGACATGAGAGAGAGAGAGAGAGAACGGACATACATGAGAGAGAGAGAACGGACATACATGAGAGAGAGAGTGAACGGACATACATGAGAGAGAGAGAGAACGGACATGAGAGAGAGAGTGAACGGACATGAGAGAGAGAGTGAACGGACATGAGAGAGAGAGAGAACGGACGGACATGAGAGAGAGAGAACGAGAGAGAGAGAGAGAACGGACATACATGAGAGAGAGAACGGACATGAGAGAGAGAGAACGGAACGGACATGAGAGAGAGGACATGAGAGAGAGAGAGAACGGAATTGAAGAGAGGAACGACATGAGAGAGAGAGGAACGGACATGAGAGAGAGAGAGAGTGTACGGACATGAGAGAGAGAGAGAGTGTACGGACATGAGAGAGAGAGAGAGTGTACGGACATGAGAGAGAGAAAGGTGATAGAGAGATTTATATTGTAACTATAAAGGGGGCAGATAGCTATAAAAGTACAATTGAGGAGAGTGAAGTTTTGACCATTAAAAAGTACAATTGAGAAGTGAAGTGTTTGACCATTAAAACTAACCAAGCAAATCCTGGCAGCAGATGGGAGAAAATAATCAGAGGTCCCTGAAACAATAATGCCATGCCCACATAGTAGAGGTGGCAGAAGAGGGAGGAAGAAAGGAAGGAAGGAAGGAAGGCGGGGGGGGGGGGTATTGTCCTTTGTCACAGCTGGGGATCAATCAGTTTGGGAGGAGTGGCAAGATGCAAATCATTTTCATTACAATTCTCTGGCCATTTCCAGGTTCCAAAAGGTCAGTAGTTTTATTGAGATTTGGATGACCCCCTCACTGTTTGCATGTCATCAAGTACATTTCTCATTCACCTGATCACAAAATCATTCAACACAGTCCTCATAAAGAAAAGGGGGTTGAGAACAAATTAGTAATCCTTACCGGTAGTGGGTGTAGTTAGGTTGATATGAAAATGTTACTCCACCCGACAATGCATACACTTCTTACTGACTGTGCTTAATATTTACTTAAGATACTTTCACAATATTTTTGAAAACCAACTTTAAAATAAAGGAGTTGAAAACACACACACACACACACACAGCAGTACTGATAAATTCTCATCCCAACTAATTTGTCATTGTTTTCATGGTGAGGCTAGACTTTTTCATCATTTCCTTTACTTAATAAAATCGACTGAAAGAAAAAACAAGGGAGAGGGAGAGACACTTACCTGACAAGCTTGTGCGAATGTATGGCTGAATAGTGGGAGGACAAACAATGCCAAGGGAGACAAGAGATAGGAGGTTGTGGAGAGCCATGATCATCTGTGTCTTAAAGTGACATGGCACATAGAAAAAGCTTTAGAGCAATTGTTAATGAGCTAATCTGGATAGACTGTTGGCAGTGGATAAATCTCAAGTCTCACTTGCTACTCAACGAGTGTACCTCAACTTAATATCACATCAAATGGTATAAACAACCAGATATCAAATGTTTTTCGTTATTAATTCATCGTTAGAACAAAGGAGTTGAGCTTACATTAACAAAATTTACCTTTCTTCTCTTAATATCACACTAAGTATTTTACAAGCATAGAAGTTAGGTCAACATGAATTTGATGAAAGTTTTAGGTACCATTTGGATATTTGGGTCCATAAAGGATAAAAGGCTCAAAAGAATGAACTTCAGTCACTCCCACCCCCAATGGATGAATTTTAATCAAGTATTAGGTTATCACACATGAAGAGATGCATTTTTTTTTGTTGATTATAAAATAATCTCTTATTCCTGACTTCCCCCCCCCACTAAATAATTCTTTTTTCAAATTCGGTTGATAAAATTATTTGGGAGCCATCAATGGTTGTGCTAGCAGGTAATCACAAGTCATCGTGGCTGAGAGTTTGAGCATACTAGCCTTGTTCAAACTGTCACACCAAATAATGTGCCCTCTCCAAGAATCTGTAAGTAAGGTCTGGTCAGTATAGTTGCAATATAATCCACAGGTGGGCTCTGAAAGTATTTGAACAAATACAAATGTGCCCAAGTGAATGTCTCCAATGGGGATGTGTTAGTCACCTTATACAGAGTGGCCAACCATTAATAATACCTGTATATGTTAATATGAAATTAGGGACAAAAGTTTTTACATACCCCCCCCCCCCCATAGTATGTAAAATAGGGGACCCTATGTATGAGGAAGGCATTTTACTTCATGTTTCAAGACGCAGCCAATTTTTCTCCAAACTGGCCATTTCTTCAATGCAACTTTATGCATAAAATACATATTTGCAAGAAATTTAATCAATGACAAGAATTTACACTCGTTTTTATGAAGACTATCAGTATATTTTAATTTATTTAAACTATTGTTCACATCTTGATTATTGTTGACACTGTGTTTCGTCCAATTACCCTTTGGCCATCTTCAGATATCCATTGTTAACTAAATATCAAAACCATGACATCAAATTAAAAGTTTCCAAAAATATACCAATTATGAGCCTTTGAACAGTGGCATAGTGGTTATAAGTGTTGATTAAACATGTTTTAATGTTATCTAATGACCTTGAGTTCAATCCTTTAAACAGGTAGTAAAATATACTAATTCTGTAGGAATGAACAAGAAACAAGGACCAAAAAAAAAAAAAAAAAAACAATAATCAACAAATATCCCCTTCCAGCTAAAACAATGGATACCCACTTTCAAATTTCTTCTTTTACAATTTTTTTTTTCAATTTTAAAACTGATTTTGGACCCAAATTGATCAGAAAATGGTAGTAAAAAAAATCCACTGTTGCTGTAAAAAAATTTAGAAACTTAAAAAATTCAGCCAACAATTTGAAAGCCAATTTCAAAATTTTCATCAATGAATTTTCTGTTTCAACAAGAGCGACCAGTGACCATTTCCAAAGTTGTAATCCATTGTAAATTTATTGCTTACAACCCAAATAGTCACCATTATCATTAATATTTAGTATTTAAAATTTTTTTTAAATTTAAAAAATTCTGAATTTCTGAGATGAAGAGTTATCTCCATCTTTGCTGTTGATATTTCAGCCACCAGTTCGAATTGTCAATTCAGGTAACCTTCATGGAATTTCCAACTGAAACCTTTATTTAATCACTGGCGATAGATCATTCTAATGTCTATGTCCTGTGTATTACTACTCATTTATTGTTTCCATCAGGTCCAAGTGCATACATTACCCCAGGCCAGGGATTGTGAGTCTTCAATTACTACATCACTAAATTCAGGAATCAAAATGTGCTTTCATTCACTAGGTAATCTATCCCATGTGACAATTCTGAGTAGATATGCTAATTTACAAACTTTTAAAACATCTATTTATAAAAATAAGTCATTATTGCTGTTCAAGAGCCTGAAATCTCATAAAATAAGAATACTTTAGCTGATTATCAGATTTGTAATAGCCTAATTTGGATTTATTACATACATCAAAATTCTCTTGAATTAATTATCAATTCTTTCTCTTTCTCTCTATGTGCGGTTTTCTTTTCACATGACTGATCGTGGCTCTCCACTATCTCCTTTCTTGCAATTCTTACTCATTTACCACCTCTTTAGGAGGTTAAAAACAAGACCGACCATAGCAATAATTACAGTTGTAATTGAGCTTTGATTACATGTTATACTGGAGGGGGACTTTTAGCACGAGGGTGAGGGGACAAAAATAAAAAATATTTTTTTTTCTTTTTTGCTTAATCTAAAATTTATTCAGTATGCATGTTCCACATTGCAAATGAGGTAGAAAGGGATTGTCAGTGGTCAGGAATGAAGGCAAGCATTACTGATAGAATAGGGCTATTATATGTATAATGGAAATGAATTGCTAATGATTTTACTATAGGAATGCATTGAAAATGAGGAAGAAAGGGATTGTCAGTGGTCAGGAATGAAGGCAAGCATTATTGACAGAGTAAAGTTATATGTATAATAATTAAAATTCTTAAAGGGTCACTCAGTTATGTAATGAACCTGCTCAATATTGCTTAACTATTGCAATCATAAAATCTAGAATATCTCCAAGTATAGACCAACTACAAGATTAGCAATTGGCATCCTATGTTCAGAGGGGGAAAAGAAGCCTGAACATAAAAATAGAGCCTGATTTTATTGGTATGAAATCAATATAAGAATAAATTTGTCTGCAGTCAGAAATACTTTCATGATTTCAGCCAGAAGAGCCAGCCACACAAAGCAACAGACAAAAGATAGTCTTTCTTATTTTTAGGAACAACATTGTGAAGCAGAATTTTCATTGTGTACATGGATGCAGTGAAAAAACACAATGGATGATGGCTCCCAAATAGCAACCACCACCACCACCACCACCATCCAAACCTTAAGTCTTTTACAGATGACCTGGAAGCACTTAAGACTTTACTTTACACAGTTCAAGGACTACTTTCGACAAAGTTTCTCCTTTGTTTCCCCCCACCCCCATTTTTTAACTAAATTTCACTCAAAGCAAGGCCAAAGAGCTACTTAAAGTAGAATCAAAGTCAAAAATATTAATGAAGAATGAGATGTGTGATATATTGATTTGTTTTTTTGTTTTTTTTTTAATGGTGGATACACCCTTTCTGGATTGTAGGAGGTTGCTAACAGTACCCTTTGTTCCCAAGCAATCCCCTTAGTACTGACAGCTTATATATATATATATATATATATATATATATATTAATAAAAAAAAATCTTATAAGTATAAGAAATTATACTCACTCAGAAAACCTTTGGTGTCTTGATTTGCAAATAAACAAGCCAATACCAAAGGGAAAAAAAAAAGGTATAAAAAAAAAGATAAAAAAAAGAAAAAAAAGAAAAAACAAGAATATGTACGTTAGCCGAAAATAATCATCCAGCATGCAAGTCCAAGGAAAAAACGCAAAATAACTAAATAAAGTGCTCAATACTAGTTAAACCTAGTGAGCCAGAAAAACCTACCAAGGTTTCACCTAAGCGGATTGTCAGGGAAGGCTCTGGCTCTCTAGGTCTAACTAGATATATATATATATATATATATATATATATATATATATATATATATATATATGTGTGTGTGTGTATGTATGTGTAGTTCATGAATTCACATACCTCAACTCCACCATTTCAGACAACCTCACCCTACACATTGAGGTCAACAGATGAATCAGCCGAGCTGTCCCCACGTTTATCAGGCTGATTTTGAGAGCTAGGAGAACAGAAAGCTTACTACAAACATTAAATTGCAGCCTATAGGGCATTAGGGCACATTCAGTGTGCTGCTATATGGCAGCAAGACTTGGAGTCTTTACTCCAGATGCTGCATGTTGGGGGGGAGGGGGGTTCAGAAGGCCCTTCCATACAGGGAACTGGCCACCGGCAAGAGGGCATCCTCATCTTTGCTTCAAGGACATCTGCAAAAGGGGACGAAGGTGATGAACATTAAGAAGTGGGAAGACATCGACAACAATCGCAC